GGATTTAAGCACACTTTCGGGTATGCTTCAGCAGACTAAGAGGCAGACTGGAAACAAAAGGTACAGGCTCAGGGAGTCTCATGGTCCAAAACCTTGAGGAGCGTTAAATTTAACAGTTTTTTGACGGCCATTGACTCCTGCGAGGAGAGGCAACTAGGAATATTACTGTTCACCTCGTATTTCGTAAAGGAAATGAAGAAGGGAACCGGCCACATGGTGATCCCACCCATGCAGGCGCCAGCGAATCCGTAGGCAACCTGACATCCCAGAACGTCTTTACGAAGAAGTATCGTTTTCTCAATTACAAATTTTTTGTCAGTTCGATATTTCCATAGTATCAAAGACTTCCCTGGAAAACACAGCATCTTTACTAACTTACGCGAAGTTATAACTCTCCGCCACCAATAGGGAGCTTTAGGAACGACGACGGCGACGGCAACGAGAACGGCAGGAAACAATAGGCTTAATGAGCAAAAACAATCGCCCTGCACGGGCGTTTAACATTTTGGTACATTTCTTTGCCATTCTCGGCAAAACAACAACGTGAAATAACCAAACTTTAGGTTTTCTCGAGAACGTGAGCGCAGGACGGTCAATTTTTCTTTCTTTCTCCTTACTTTAACGCCGTTCGTAGTGATATAGTCCCTGAATATGTTCGCCAGCATTTTCCAAGTGAAACACATCGGAATAACCTCGAAAGCGTTACAAAAACGAAAAGTTAGATTTCGACACGACGTTTTCGTTGCCGTCGCCGTCGTCGTTGCTAAAGCTCCCTAATGGCGAAAACGAAGAGGAGGCGAGAGCGGCTGTTGTTCCCAATCAGAGTTCGCGTATCACACGAGTATCAACAAAATGGGTAAGCAATGAAAATTCATTTCCCTGCAAGAGTGACCTAATGTAACACGATTTTTCACAGGGGGATATTGTGGCGTCATGAAGTCTACACCTTTACTGGTCTTCACTTTCTTGCTGTTTGACTTTATATCACTTACCCTGAGGCCACTCACTATCTTCCTCAGAGATGATGTCTTCTGTTTTAATACAGAATGTTCTGTTAATATCTTTGCCCACCGTTGCATTAAGATGAAAACTCGGTGATTTATAGTTGTTTGTAGCGCTGTCCTCAATGTCTTCAAATCTCCATCCTGTGGCCCACACCTTGGATATCACTGTCACAGGACAGCCAACCTTTGCTCTGGGTATGCCATATGTCCCGGCAGGCCATGTTAATGTCGCTGTTGATGATTGAGAAAAATGTGAGTGTATGTTGGACAGGTGATACCTCGTAGAGCTCTGGAGATTAAAAAATAGACGAGCAGAGAAGTGACAAGTTCACAGTAGAACGTGCTCGTCTATTTTTTTTCCTGTAAAGTTCACATCAGTGGTGCAAAAGCTGTCTCGATTTACACGGAAACCGTTGTCTAACTCGGCTACGGACACCTCTGTAGCTTTTTTGGCAACCATTTCCTCGAACGAGACGACAGAAACGAAACAACTGAATCTCGGAGTTGAGTAAACATTAATAGATGAATGAAAAATGGCTGAATTCAAAACTGCTTGCATAATGTTTGTGTACATATTTGAGGCACTCGGAAAAATAAAAAAAAATTGAAAAAAAAGAAAAGAAAAGGAAAGACAAAAAAACCATATCATTACTTAAAATTGGTCTTCCCCCTATCACTGAGGTGGAGAAGCACTTTACACTACGCCAAGTATGCAGAGCGTAATCACTAAGAGAATGGTACTTTGGAAGACGAGAACATTATAGCTGCCGCGACAATTCAACCCTTCACAATTCATTTTGATCATCATTTTTCCCATCGCTATTTTCAGTTCTTGTAGTCAGTGTTTTGTTTGGGTAGTTTTGACGGCTTCAGTGGTTTCGTTTCGGTTTTGTGCTTTTGCTGTTTGCGGGTTTAAGTACATGCCTTGTAATTGCCGGTGGCTGATGCCAACATTAACTCCTTAGCATGATCGTTGCTCTTCAGGATAAAATAATATACGTCATCAAGATCACCTGAGTGTATCAAGTTCGAACGAAGAGAGGCTTCTTTTTTCGATATAGCGACAAGTCGAATTCAAGACATAATACTTAAAGTGCTCGTAAGCCCAAAAACTCTTTTTCGCTTAACGAAATAAGCGTATTTTTTGGAGTATTTCTTTGCAAAACCTTTTTGATTTGCTCAAATCTTCGATTTTCTGTGTCCAGTCAAAATGAGGAAAATCAGCCGCCATCTTGGCTCACGACCGAGTTTAAAGAGAAGTGGTTCTAGCGGGTAAGGTGACGTCAAATCGAGAACACGAAAGTTTACATTTCGCACATTTTCACTTGTTCGGGAAGGTTGTAGTCGATATTGTCCGAAAATATGCCGACTAAGTGTGTTGTAGGAGGATGTAGCAACGTGCGAAATTTGCTAGAGGGTATCGCGCTTCATACATTCCTCATACAACTCACCTAGTCGGCATATTTCGGATAATATCGACGACAACCTTCCCAAACAAGTGGAAATGTGTGAAATGCACACTTTCGTGTTCTCGATTTGACGTCACATTACCCGCTAGAACCATTCCTCTTAAAACTCGGTCGTGAGCCAAGTTGGCGGCCGATTTTCCCTATTATGACTGAGCACAGAAAATTGAAGATTTGAGCAAATAAAAAAAAATTTTGCACAGAAATACTCCAAAAAATACGCTTATTGCGTTAAGCGAAAAAAAATTTGCGGTTTAGGTGCACTTTAAACGAAAGTGGAAAGAAACGGAGAATCTCCAGCTAGGCTGACATAAGCTGTGGTTACACTAGACCTTTTGCCTACGGGAAAGTGAGACTTTACCCACGGGAAGTCTGTGTTTTGTGTGTGACCTCTATTCCCAAAGTGAAACTGCCATGGGAAATCGCTATGGATACATTAAAAAGAACAAAAGAATTACCCATGACGCTTCCCGAACCAAGTCGTAGGGTTTAGCAGTGGTTTATCTAACCGCAAGAGTAGTTCAACAAGTCGGATGGAAGAAAATAGTAAATCCGGAAACCGCAGCACATGCTGGGCATTTTTGTGATGTTGCGCTGAAATCGCGGAAAATATATCCTCGCAAGTACCAAATTCAAGACACGCGGCATCAAACATAACAAACTTTCGAGGTTCAAATTAAGTATATTTTACTCGTCTTTGCTCTAAATACTCCAATAAAAACCATAAGTTTCTCGGTCTGTGATCTCCATGATGAATTAATTTCCCGCCAAACACTGCTTGGTCAAAATTTGACCTCGGGTAATTATTTGCGATGTAACCGGAGGAATAAACATGACCGGAAACCCAAACCAATCCCAACCCAAGGTTATTACCCACTGGGTTACCTCGGGAAGGAGGTGAGTGTAACCACAACTATAGTTTGCCGGGTTTTTTGAGTTCAACAACTTTATTAATTATTTAGTTTTATCAATTTGTCGCTCAATTAGACTGTGATATCAGCCCTCGATCGGAAATTTATCCCAGTTGTCTAATACTTACGCGTACACAAAGCTTATGTCCAATTCTGAATAGGTAAAAATTACAACGCGAATTAGTTGATACCGCTCTTTAAATTCTTCTGGATTTTCAGTGAGATTCCCGTATACACAGAATTTACAATTTACACAGACACCATTATTGTCCCGTGAACATGTGGGCATACATAACTTACTCCAAACATCATACAGTTACCGAATAGTGCGGGCAAGTTTCTAAAGAAACTGTGGTGCCGCGTTGTTTGTGTGGGATATAACAAAATGACTTGGTTTAATCAACTGAGTTGATAATGAAAGTTGGCCACAGTAAAGAGTTTCTTAGGCCGACGTTTCGAGCGCTTACCCGTTCGTCAGAGTGAGTATATACACAATTGCTAGTTGGGCAACTTACCCTCACTGTAACCCACAGCTATCCACAGGAAAAGTATTGATTGAAGACTGTAAAGAACTTTCCTCGCCATGTTTGAATTCAGCTCGGTACAATGTGTTGCGTATTAGGGTCCGATATATTATCATAGACAAATGTGCGAATCGGACCAAGGGCTCTACACAACTACTTTATTGGAACTTAATTATGTATAATGATAGATAGTGATAATCACGTGACTGCGGTCAAGGGTGTACTAACGAATAAAATACAGATTATGTAATGGAGAGGGGCATTGGGTTCTACTAGAAACCGAAAAACCGTGGAAAAAAATTCGATCAAAACAGTATGAAAAACCGCCGAAACTGATAAATATTCGCATCCCAGTTATCAAAACATCAACCGGTCTGATATACTGGTCAGGGACAATGGAGCAGAAGTTTTGCAGCTACGGCGAGATCAGTGGAGGCACTTAAATTGCCGTTCAGATCGAAGAAAAACCGGAACTCAAATAGGAAAAACCGAAACCCACATCCAATACCAAATCCGAAAACCCGTCAGTGTTTTTAATGAAAACCGAAAAACTAATCACTTAAAAACGGAAAATTCGAAAACAATAAACACCAAAAGCGAAAAACTGTTTTTGGGCACGAAAACCAAAAATCCGATCTTCGAAATTGCCAAAAGTGAAAATCCCAATGCCCCCTTCCAATTTGTGGTTTCCTATGGAAAATTAGAGGTTATTTTTCCCATGAAGTGGCATGTACTAAAACCAGGAACACCGGAACACCCCGGAACACCGGAACAGCCGAAGCACCCCGGAACACCGAGTTTGACTGTGTTGTTTTCTTTTCCCATTACAGATCATGTAAAAAATAAGAAGAACTCAGTTCAGCCATGTTGTCGAAGTTCGCCTCGCACTTTGGGAGTTGACGAGACTCCTGGTCAGCTGTTGCTCAGTACAAAGGTAGAACCGCAATGCATACTTTGAAACTAACAGTTACGTACTGGCCGGTTACAAGTTATCGACCTTTTTCGTTTGGTCTTTGTTTAGCCATTACAGACCGCGTGATATTCTCTGGAGAAAAAAAAATAATCCATTCGTATTCACGCCACAATCTGAAAATTTGTCAAGACTATAATCACATAGGGGGAGTTGCAGTGGTGAAATGGCACTTGCCTCCCACCGATGTGACCTGGGTTCGCTTCCCGTACCCACCGTCATTTGAAGGTAGAGTTTGTTTTTTGTTTTCTCTAGGTTTTCCGGTTTACCTCCCTCCACAAAAACCAACACCTCTAAATTCAAATTCGATATCATACACGTGCACTCTATAACGAGCTCTAAGCTCTTTCGTTATACGTGGGTAAACAAATTACATTTACATTTTATTTTTTACATGATCTGTAATGGGAAAACAAAACAACACCATCAAATTCGGTGTTCCGGGGTGCTTTGGCTGTTCCGGTGTTCCGGGGTGTTCCGGTGTTCCGGTGTTGTCGATTTTAGTACATGTCCGATGAAGCAGTCTAAACGTACAGTTTCGAGTCTAACACGCAAACAGCGAGGATTGGAAATTTCGTCTCATGCGAATCAATTAGAAAAAAACTCGTGTCAATCCCGAGATTTGGGATATTGCTAAAAAACAAACACGAAGCATGAATGCTAGGCTTCAAGCCTTGCAAGACATCCTGATTAAAGGGCTAATTCCCCTTGCGGACATGACAGGAAAAGTGGGTGAATCTTTGGACTCGGGTGCTTCAATGCCAACCAAAGAGACCTTATGGGAAGCTCTATCGAATTCCCTCCTTCTTGTAGCGGCGGCTAACCACAGCTTGAATATTTGCCGCCGTGATTTGTTCAAAACAGATTTGGATGACAGCTACAAGACCTTGTGTAATAACAACCACCGTATTGGAAGCGAACTGTTTGGTGACGATCTAGCCGAACGGCTGAAAACAGTTACCGAGAGTAACAAAACAGCAAACAGCTCACCAGATCTATCAAGGCTGGCTCTCATAAGTATAAAGGTTCATCCAAGTCTTTTTTGGGCCAAGGGGGGCGCAACCCGTGCCCCTTCAACCAGTACAGCCCCCATGCCAGAATCTATCAGAGGAACAATCGTCCCTCGTACAGGAAGGAACCTTCCAAAACCGAGACAAAAACAACAAAACAGACTATGAAACAGTCATACTTCAACCTAAGGTGAGCTCTGTACCCATTACTATTACTGGCGGGAGAATTAAGAACTTTCTTGTTAAGTGGCAAGATATTACCTCTGACGGAACTATTCTGTCTATTGTACAGGGTTACAAATTTGAGTTTTACGACGTACAGCGTATTCAAATAGGTAGGGTCAGGCCTACCATTCTGAATACTGAGGCAGCAAAGACTTTAGATCAGCAGATTCAAAATTTTCTGTCAAGAGGTATAATTGTTGAGTCCCACCACGAAGCTACCGAACTCATATCCCCAGTTTTTCTCAGAGAAAATAAAAATGGGAGCTTCAGAATGGTTTTGAATTTAAAAGAGTTCAATCGTTTTATCGTTTATCATCATTTTAAGATGGATAATATTGAAAGCTGTGTTCACCTGATGAAACCTGGCTGTTTTATGGCATCCATTGACCTATCAGATGCCTATTTTTCTGTACCTGTTGATACGTCACATCAAAAATATCTTAAGTTTTTATGGAAAAGGAAGCTTTATCAGTTTACTTGCCTAGCACAAGGTCTCGCCCGTGCCCCTAGACTGTTCAACAAACTACTCAAACCGGTATACGCCTATCTGCGACTCAAAGGGCATGTTTCTAGTGGATATTTAAACGGCTCCTTTTTAGAAGGAGACACTAGTGAGGCATGCTCATCCAATGTCCAGGATACCTTAACCCTTTTAGGGGACTTGGGTTTCTGTCCTAATTTGGACAAATCAGTCGTCCAGCGTACACAGGTCCTTGAACATCTGGGTTTTATTTTAAATTCTCTAGACATATCTGTTAGCATTACAGATCGCAATTTTGGTAAGCTACTTGACTTAGCACACAAGCTCTTGCAATCTACATTTGTCCCTGTTAGACAGGTTGCTCGTTTATTGGGCATTATGGTATCTTTTTTCCCTGGAGTAGAGTATGCCAGACTCTTTTACAGACAACTTGAGATTGAAAAATCAACTGCTCTAAAAAATTCCGGCTGGAATTTTGAAAGTAATATGATGTTGTCTGAAACAGCAAAAAACGACATAGTCTGGTGGATGGAACATGCCAAAACATGTTCAAGGAAGATTAGTCATGGGAAAGTCACACGCACGCTCAAAACAGATGCCTCCATCTAAGGGTGGGGAGCCTTTTCCGATGGGGTTTCTACAGGCGGCAGGTAGTCCCCTCAAGAAGCTCAGTTGCATACTAATGCTCTTGAACTCCTCGCTGTTCTCTGGGGTCTCAAGGCTTTATGCTCTTTAGAACATCACTACCACATTCGAGTTCTGTCTGATAATACCACTACTGTATCATACCTGAGGAACATGAGGGAATCTCATTCTATCCCTTGTAATGATATTGCCAGAGACATCTGGCTTTGGTGTAAGAACAGAGACATCTGGATTACACCTGCACATATTCCTGGTGTTGAGAATATCGAAGCAGACTCTGCCTCTCGGGTCTTTAACGACCGGACAGAATGGAAACTAGATCAACAGGTGTTTTCAGACATTTTTTCTTTGTTTGGCGAACCTGATCTTGATTTATTCGCATCTAGACTTAACCATCAGTTCACTCGCTACGTGTCATGGATCCCTGATCCTAACGCTGTTGGAATAGATGCTTTTACATTAGACTGGGGAGTACAATATAACTATGTTTTCCCTCCTTTCAGTTTAATTCCACAAGTCCTGCAAAAGGTGGAGGAGTATCAAGCAGAAATAATCATGGTGGCCCCTCATTGGCCCACACAGTCCTGGTTTCCCAAATTAACAAGATTCCTGGTGCAGTCCCCAGTGCTACTTCCCAATCGTCCCAACATTGTACACCTGCCCTTCGATCCCGGAAAGGAACATCCCTTGGGGGCAAAACTGCTGCTGATGGCACGTCACTTATCAGGGAAAGTCTCCGCAACAAAGACATTTCAGAGAGGGCTCAAGAGCTCATTCTACATTCTCGGAGGGAAGGAACCCAGAAGCAGTACCAAACGTATTTACAGAGATGGTCCATCTTCAGCAGTGGACGGGATATTGATGCCATTCAACCAACTATATCAGAAGTCCTAGACTTTTGAACTGAACTGTTTAATAATGGACTCGGCTACAGTGGCCTTAATACTGCTTTTTGTGCTCTATCATCTGTTATCCACTAAAATGATAACACAACTGTGGGTTCCCACCCATTAGTTAACCGTTTTTTGAAAGCTGTATTCAACAATAGGCCTAGTATGCCTAGATACCTATCAGTCTGGGATCATACCTTAAAACACTACCATCTCTGGGAGGCATAACCCTAAAAGAGCTTACCCATAGGTTAGTTATGCTTATAGCATTGGTCACAGGTCAGAGATGCCAGTCTTTCCAACTTGTGGATTTAACGAATATGCAGCAGAATGCTGATCATTATAAATTCATTATTAGGGATATTGTTAAGCAGTCAGCTCCAGGAAAGAAACAACCAGAGCTTATCCTTCCTGCCTTTCCAGCAGATTGCAGGGTTTGTGTTTACTCAGTCCTCTCCGAATACATTAAGCGTACTGCACCCCTTAGAGGTGTGGAATCCAGACTCTTAATCGGTTTTGTGAAGCCTTATCAGGTAGTGTCCAGGGATAATATATCACGCTGGATTAAGAATGTTATGATCAAATCAGGTATTGACGTAAAAGTGTTGAAGCCTCATAGCACCAGAGCCGCCTCAACCAGCAAAGCTAATGTATGTCAGGTATCTATAGATGTGATTCTTAAGGCAGCGCCTTGGAAAGGAGATTGCACTTTTCGTAAGTTTTACAACAAACCTATTGACGATAATGTTTCTTGTTTTGGCCAAGCTGTTCTTGGCTCCAGTGCTGCTGTATAGGCCTAGCTGTCTGGGCAGTTTTTTCAACTACAGTTCATTAAACAAGGACACCAGATGTTACTTCTAGGTGTTGTTT